CCTATCCTGGTGGCTTTCATTTCACTTTTAAATTTAGGCCAGCCGCAACTAAGCACATGAGCGCGGCGCGGGTTACGGTATAGCGGTCCTACAGCGAATTTCGCAGCCGCCCCTCAGTTTATAAATAGCACCCCCACTTAGCACCAAATTTGATTCGCTTAATCTCAAAATAGGTCCAGTCCGAATTATATTTCCGTCCCTTTTCATCCTGCATCTGCTCATTACATCCTTCATTTCGAAACAATCATGTAATGTAAGATTGCAAAAAATATCATCATAAATACAGCTGTACTCTCATGCCCTAGGATGGCAATAATCAAACAGAATTGATGTGAACACCTCCGCTCATCAAGCACGTATCACGGTCCTTCTAGCGAAGAGGTAAAGGTTGTGTACAGGAACAGAAATTCAGTGCGGTACTCGGTTCCTACAGTGGGTTCGCGGTAAACTATAACGCAATGGACGCAGAATTTCACGGACAACATGACACAAGTACTTAACTCTTTATATACACGACGCATTGGAAAGAGACCTGGGCAAGGAAACGGGCGTCTGAATGGAGTGGGAATTCATTGTATTACGACCGCTCGTTCAGGCCAGGACCCACAGCTGGTGTAAGAACCGATTTCCCTATCTGGGTTTTCGTTTCTGTGCGGTTCTACAGCTAATACGAGGCAGCTGTCATTACTGAAGCTCACCACGAGAATCATAGATGCAGGATCGAGGAGGTAGTTAAATTGGAGTTCTCAATCATGCTTTTTTTTGCATTCCTAAAACTTTTGAACTTACAGACCCATCCCAATCTGTTATTTGAATTCCCGCTCGTGCAAACTATATTTGTACTTCTGAACATGGCTAAGAGAAAGCAACTTACTTTGGACTGTCAGTGCGATGTCAGCCGTATCAGTTCCGCTGGCGCTGTTGACGCTCAAGCAGTACGTTCCGCTATGAGAAGCTTTTACATCTTTGATTTCAAGCTCAGCAACACCGTTTCTGTAGGAACTGCTCACAGTTCTGGAAGTCTGAAAAGAACTACTTCACAAAAAAATTAATTCAGTTTTGAGCCCACTCACTTATGTGTACTCGAAAAAAAAACTAAACAAGAAATGCGATATGTTAGAGTCTCATTGTTTTCCTCGAGTGTTTAGGCACAGTTCACGAAAAATTGTTTTAGATTTTGAAAAATGGTCACGTTATAAGTTATAGAAAGTTATAGAACAAGTTATAAAGGCTCAAAGATTGGCCTGTGTGTGGCCTGGGGCGAGTTCCTCTGGCATTGCCAATGCTGCACCGATCACAAGGGAACTCGAATTCTAATGATAACACTAGAGGTGTTGTGAAAACGGTGCAAGCGATATTGTATTCCGGTGAAGAGTAGGAAGGGAGCAACTCGATCGTGATTGTAACGTATAAGGTGAAGGTACTGTTGTTTCTTAAAGACACAGTTCACGATAAAAATGCTTTCTGATATTCCCCACACGATGAATTTGAGGCCCCACGCGTATAGCATATCTAGACTATTACGTCGGAAAACGGCCTAGTTAGGGAGTTATAAAGGCTCAAAGATTGACCCATGAGTGTTCTCGGACGAGTTTCACTGACATTGCCAAGGCTGCACCGATCACAAGGGAACCCATGTAGAAATTTCAAACACCTTGTTATGACCCATAACAACAGTGCAAGACAGTTCGTACAGTTCTGGCTTGTTGTAGTCAGCTCTTTGTGAAATTGCAATAACTGAAATCTCGTCCGAATACCCCTTCCATGTTAGTTCGGCAATGGCAACCTCGTCCAACCCCTATTTTCCTTACTTTTGAGGAGCCATACTTTTCTCGAAATCAGTGAATTCTCTCGCTTTCTTCGCTACCGATGAACTATTCCCAGTCTATACTTACGTTTTTCGAATAAAAACGGGTACCTCCAAATTATCGTGAACTGTGCCTTTAATCTATTTAATTGAACGGGACCGAAAAAAAGTGTGGGATCTAATTTGAAATGGGAAGTTGTAGGCATCTTCAACAGTTTGCAAATTTTCACCTTTCAAAAGATTTTCCAACGTTGCCTAGCTGTCCTATATAATTCCCCTTCCGAAATTCAGCCTTTTCAAAAGAGTTTGTTCGTAATTCGCTTCTTGGTAGGGTTCTCCCACTCGGACCATGTTTACTCCGCCAGGGTGGCGTTTTCGAGCCCTGTATATGCATCCAGAGCAAAACGATTCTTGTTAGGAACGGGAATTACATTAGCCATAAGAGTATGGACAGTCCTTGGACAGCTAACGTAATTCAAACGTACAAAAACTCTCAATCCAGCTGGGAGAAATTAACACATTCCAGTTAAAATTCGATTTCAATCAAACCTAAGATCTGTGCAAAAAGCTTTTTGCTGCCGGTAAATTAACCCTTTGACGCAATGCGGATTTCGAAGTGACGCGGCCACGGGATCAGACTCCCGTCCTTACGCGCGTGACCGTCACCCACCGGTGGGTGGCACTGTCCCATGAGTAACTTATTTCACTGGTTTACTGAATTAAGCAATTGATAAGAAGCAAGAAAGTATAGTGGCACCCAAAATTGGGTGCCAATGCTCCATGCCCCAATCATAGTTGCACCCACCGGTGGGTGCCATCGTCATCAAAGGGTTAAAACAATAGGAGGAGGTAAAAAACTGAACCCCAAAGGTAGTTTCGTGGACCTATTCACTTTCAGTTGCTCAGTCATCCATCATACAAACGGTAGGTGGTGGAGAAAAAGCAATTTTCAATGAAGTGGAAAATCTTGTGAAAAAAACTTTTAATAGATGAACTTTTTTGATGAAGCAGTTCTGAGCGACATACCTTAACGATTTTCCCGTCCTTCTTCCAAACACAGTTCAGCTCTGGCCCTCCTTCCACGTTCGCTTTCAGGATGGCACGTGTACCGGATTTCACATCTACGCTGTTCGACTCCAGTTGAATACGAGGTTTCACTGAATGAAACACTTATAATTCATGAAACTTTAGTAATAATGATGACTTTGTGAAAGATTGATTGAACAGCTATGATAGAAATTTTGTCCGGCAAAAAAAGAGGAACACAGGAAAAAAATGAAGTTGAACCATTCCCACCTCGTTTGCTAGTTGTTGGCATCGGTACTGCAGAACTAGTATCCACAATATTTGTTCCATTAGGCGTCCTGAAGTCTGCCTCTCCAGTGGAATGGTCTGCTTCTGTTTCGCCAAATTTAAAATCGACTATTGGCTTGGTAGGTGGTGACAGCGACTGTGCAGGCAGCTGCTCAGCGTTCTGTTGAATAGACACATTGTCTATGGGTTTACGCTTCTTTAGTCTCTGCTTCGTATTCACAATATCATCCACGGGGTTCAACGACATTTTTGGCATGGGCTTCGATGATTCGTCTTGTTTTCCATCTGCCGTCCCATCTCCACTTCGATCCAACTCATCATTGGCCTTCCCTTTCCTGCCATTTTCCTTTGATTCCTCAATTGCCTTTACCTTTAGAGTAGCACTGGTGTTACTTGGAATAGACGAGCCCATTGGATTCTTGGCAATCACTCTGTAGCGGTATGAACCGTCCTGGGACACCAGAAAATCTATAAAGTCCGTTTGTTCTATTTTAGCAATTTCAAGCCATTCACCATCATCACGCTGACGCTCCAGATGATACAGGTCGGCGTTCGGTACTGGAGCCCATGAAAGCACAGCTTTTCCTCCATCAAGGACTGCTTCGGGAGCAGCCGGAGTTTTGGGAAGCAGGCTATCAGTGGTGTCAACTTCTGGTTCTGCGTCTGCTACCGTAGTAACATCGATTGACAGACTTGGTGACCCTTCTCCCACTGAATTCACAGCGATGACACGGAAACCGTAGATTTGACCGCTGAATAAGTTTGTTGCTTTGAAACAGAAAGTGTGGCCATCAGTTTTGCCAACTGATCGCCATCTACTGCTATCAACAGCCTTTCGCTCTATGATAAATCCGGTGATCAGAGCCCCATTCGTTTTTTCGGGTCTACTCCATGAGAGCACTGTGGAGTCCATAGTGGTTTCTGATGAATTCAAGTCTAGTGGCTCAGAAGGCACATCAAGAACAGTCAAACGAATTTCCTTGTGCACAGTTCCAACCGAGTTTTCTGCTGTGATCTTCACAACGCCGCAGTCGTCTCGATTGAGGTTCTTCATTCTTACGCTAGTGACGTTATCGTACTCTTCGACTGACGCTCTGCTTTGAATCCGAGAGTCCTTGTGCAGGATGGTGACAGTGGGGTTCGGATAACCAATTGCCTCAACATGGAAAGCGAGCTCCTCGTGAGCTTTCAGCTCCACCTCATCTTTCAAATTTTCTCGAATTACTATTTCAGGAGCCACCAGAAGAGTGAGGCGAGCCGGTGCCGAAACCTCTCGCTCATTCAAAGCAGCCGAATAATCTCCAATATCACCCTTCTCAATGTTATGAATTTCAAGAGTAGATGTATTCCCAGAAGTGGCTATAACGTATTTGTCGGTTTGTGGCCAAATTTCTTGCCCATTCTTGAACCACAACACTTTGTGGCCTGGTTTTGTGATCTCGCAATTTAGTCTTGCAACGGTTCCAAATTCGTCGACTGTGAGGTCTTGTGGACCAACGCTGATTCGTGGTTCCTGGCCTGAAATTCACATTTTGATCAGCACGTACATATGGCAGAGTATGTAAGCGAACATCACCGATCTAACCTTTTACTACCAGTCCTCCTTCGGTTTTGCTTCTACCATCGGAAGTTTCGCAGCGATACGTCCCACTATCAGCGTCTCCAGCCGACAGTATTTTCAACTTCCGTGTTTTACCCTCACTTGTGATAAGGAGGTGGTCGTTCATGGTCAGCTCTTTACCATCCTTGTACCAGACAACCACGCCATCCTCATCTGAGAGAGTGCAGCAAAGTTCGTGATCTTCACCTTCGATAACTTCTCTGTACTCTGAGAAGGAAGTCTCGAAGTGGCATTGCACATCTGAAGTGTAAAGATTATCAGAAACCCCTCAGATTTACCTCCTTCTAAACGGGCACATTAACCCACATACCAGTTACAGTAACCGAGGCTGTGGACCTGGTTGTTCCGTATGAATTTCCGATTTCACATGAGTACGATCCACAATCATTACTAGTAACATCGTGAACCAGAAGACGACTGATATGACCCTCGCTTACAATCTGAAAGATGTAGTCAAATTAAAATGGTACCCATTGAATGACTAATATCTATTCAAAAACTGTAAAAAGTAAACTTAGTTTATCAGAACTATTCCTGAAAAAATAATGTTGCCACGATTCAAACGAAATCCCTGAAAACGATGCGGGACCTATTGAGATTACTGGAGTTAAGCATAGCTACACTCACAGACATCACCACTACTCCGGTGGTGCAGCGGCGAGAGGGACATTATCACACACGCATTATCCACGGATCAAATTTCGACATGATACTCACCCAGGCCAAGCCATGCAATCTTTCTACACCTCCAGGGTCGGTTGATTGGTATCGGACTTTTCTAATTGTGCGAGGGGAAAAGCACTGGATTGTATTAGGTTGAGTCATAAAACCTCGGACCAAAAGATAGTGATGACTTCTAGAGATCATAACTCGGGAAAGAGGTGACGAAAATGGACGCGCGAG